AATTATTTCTTATACTTGACCAACAGTATTGTTAATCCACAAGTTACTTTTATAGCTTTAGAACATTTTATGCTTAGGGACAGAGGCAAGTGGCTTAAGGGGAACCTATGAAGCTGAAGTAAAGGCACTTACAAATAGCTTACAGCATATTCTGTCACCATATACTTAACTCTTCCAGCTCTGTTTTGCCTCTCCTCAGTATTGTATAGTCCTCCCAGACCAACTGGCAGATATGCATTAGCTATATTTTCCACCAGTCAAGCAGTAAGGGGTCACCTATGTACATCTGGGACACCACTGTATGCCAAGCAGAACAGTGATTATCATTGTCTCATCCCTGTGAACCTTCTCTACTTTTTCCCTGTGCTCCAATTTTCTCCAATGCAGTTTCTGTATCTGGCTTCTTTTCCTGAGACCTTTCAGAACTCTAGATTCTCCTCCAGTGCTTTCACATGTTAATCAGTATTCTTTTATGTCTTCAGACATCCTCTCTCCTCTTGAGCACATGCAGATTGATTTAGCTTGCCTTGCCTTGTAAAGGTAACCTGACAAACTCCTAAACTGCCTGCTACAGAGTTTGTTACCTTGTGGGTGCATTTGTAACTGTGTTTTGGATTGATTATAGTTACAAGAACACCTGCCCTAACCACTAAAGTCTTTTATATGTGTTCTTCACTTTAATTTTGATGTTTGGTTCTAGTTACCTCTAGCAATGACCTCTGGCTACAGGTTGAAACAACACTTCTGTCTCACTTTTCACTGGAAATGATCTTTGGCTTAACCCCGTTTAAACATTTGTCTATTAACTGGTATTTGATATTATCCTATCCAGCTTCTGGTGTCCACCAATAAGGCCATCCCAAGGACCACACTCATCGCACAAGTTCCAGACCAAGCACCAAGGGATTTGGCAAAAACTGTATCTTTGCGGCAGCTCTCAGAGTCATTGGCTATTATAACCCAGGGAATTACACAGCTTTGTTCCTCAGGAAACCCCTCTTTTTGCAGGGTAAGAGGACCTAATCTTTCTCTGCTGCAGTTACATTTTCACTTACAGGTCCCCTCCTACCCCCAGCCTGTGACTGATAAGTGAAAGGAAAAGCAGAAGACTGATGAGTTCATCTGCTCTTTTCACTCTACTCTCCTAATAGCATGCTGCTTGAGCTGCAGTACACTTGATTTGCTCCAGTGCTGCCCCCCCCCCCCCCCCCTTAGTTTTGCTTTTTAAACTGTACAGTAGACTACAGTAGGCTGATACCAGGTCAAATGCAGATACTTACACTTCTTGTCTTTTAAAAAATCAATTTATTGTTGTATTAATTATTATAGAGCTGCATTAATGTGTGTTGTTTATACTATAACTTTAAAACCCGAAAACCATTTAGATGGCAGCATTTTAGCTTTTACTTTTGCAGTTCATCTCCAGTAAGGTATCTGCATTCGCTATCCTGGTGTCTGTTTTATTTCATTGATTATTTTTCCTGCAGCCAGCTACACCCTGCTAAGCAAGTGTCACATCTTTCATTCCTACGCCTACACACATTATTATAATGATAAGAGGGCGAAGACTTAAAAGAGAGATTTAAATGGTGATCTTCAAACCTTTCACCTTATTTAAGTGCTGCACAGGCACGCAGATCATGTTTGTAATAGATTAGCGTTCCAACGTATAAACTTCATGACATACATACATGATAATCCTCGATTGAGAAAATGTTCATTCTGTAATGTATATTGTCACTATTGATGGCTTTAAAAGCCCAGTAATGGGCATTTTTTACTTTGAAATGGTGCCTCACCCATAGTAAACATAAAAAATCGTTAGGGCTGCAACGATCACCTCCTCTCTGGGGCTGTCCCCCATTGTAATTACTTTTACCATTAGATGCCTCATGAATGAATGGCACCTAGTGTAATTTAAAGAATATGTAAAGCCAACATTTCATATTCCTGATATGTGCATGCTGTACCATCTACTTATAAAAAGTATCCTGTTTACTTTGTGTTGTTAAATCCCTGGTGTTCCTGCCAGTCCCTATGCTTTCCTATTAAAAACTGAGGGCACAAGGCATGGGAGCACAGCATGGCCAGTTTTCTAGCTGTGCTGAGAAGTCAGCTTGCTCTTCTTCAATGATCAGACTTGTGCTGACAAACTTCCAAAAAACAACACCCCCCCTGCACAGTTTTTCACAGGGAAGATTAGTGTACTGCTGTTTCCCCGCCCCTAGGTCTCTAAGCTCCTTATGTAGCTGAGATCAGAGATTATGTGATCACTTATAAAAAGGCAAAAGAAGGTATTTATTATGGTTTTTTATATCTATACGCACATGTTTTGCCTTTAATTTCTCTTTTAAACTGAATGGGTTGTTTTACAAGATGAGGGTTTACATATATTTTAACCGCTTCCTGATCCCCCTATAGCAGAACTACTGCTACAGGGCAGCAGGGCTCCACCTACATGATTTTGTATTTCCAGGTAGGGCGCGAGCACTACCCTACCTGTGCTGCCATTGGCAGCTACAGCTGTCAATCACCGGGTTCCGGCTGGAAATTCCCCGCTGGCATCCAGCGATCGCAAGGAACACTGACAGAGGAGAGGTCTGTATGTAAACATTACAGATCTCTGCCCTGTCAGCACCAGCATGCTGTTTTGTATTGCTCTGCATAGCAGAGCAATACAAAGCAGCATGCTTACATAGTAAAGTGCACACAGGCAACACAGTAAAACAGCACACAGTAGACTGATAACCCTTTGATTGCCCCAGATGTTAACCCCTTCCTGCCCAGTGTCATTAGTACAGTGTCAGTGCTTTTTATTAGCACTGATCACTGTATTAGTGTCACTGGGATGTCAGTGGCAGTTAGTCAGTTTCCACCCAGTGTCAGAATGTCCAATTGATATGTTTTATAGCAACAAGTCAAAAATATTGTTTCTTTTTTTCAAAATTGTGGGTCTTTTTTTGTTCATAGCACAAAAAATAAAAGCACAGGTGATCAAATACCACCAAAAGAAAGCTCCATTTGTGGGAAAAAAAAGACATAAATTTAATTTGGGTGCAGCGTTGCATGACCACAAAATTGTCAGTTAAAGTAATGCAGCGCTGTATTGCAAAAAAATGGCCTGGTCAGGATGGGGGGTGTAAATCCTCTGGAGGGCAAGTGGTTAACCTGGAAGACTGAGAACATATGGTGAATGTAGGGTATTGTGGGTTTCAAGGTGTGTTTATGATGAACTCCAGCCAAAAAAAAGTGAACTTTTGGCTAGAGCGGGGAAGCACTAAACACCGGGGTCATGAGTCTCAAAAACTTGCATTTGTGAAATGAAATGGCATAGTGGACATTATACTGTATAAAATATTATTGATAATTAATTATAATATTATTAGAATGATAATGTCATTTTTATAGGTTTTATTTTCATATTGTATACATTTGGGTACCTTTAACCCTTTCTGAATTACAGCTTCTTATATCTTTCTGGAACTCCCATGGGGAGATATTCCCAATTGTATTCAACTGTCATGGAAATACAAAGCCAAGTGATGGTGTCACACTTCTGTGGTTTTTCACAATGCAGAATGCACAAATATTTGGGGAGCCCCCCTTCAGGAAAGTGTCACCTCCATTATGGCCTTTCTGAAAGTTGGAGATACAGAAACCGTTCCAAAGTAATCTCATCACTATATTGATTCCAAAAAGACGAGCACTGAGGAAACTTAGGTTTATAGTCAATGATGACCCCACAAAGTACTTCAAAAAGGTGTTTTATTCCATAGAAGTGAATCATAAAAGCATATAGTCATCCAATGACAGCGGTGGACCCAATATCTGGCTTTGGTGGAATATCCTCTCACCTGAGCCCCCGCGCTGGGATGAGTGGTGAAAATGGGTGATCACAAGTGTCAGACTGTCCTGACCGGGGATTGCAGTGCACCAGAACTGACATCAGAGGTCCCGGGCGGAAGCGAAAGTCGGCCGCTGTACCAGGCTGGACCGCAAGCTTAGCTGGTTGCCATGACAATGCGTTGTCATCAATAGATTGTTCTACATTCAGTCCAACCATTGCCCACCCAACAATAAAATGTCAATACATGGTAGACGTGTGTGATGTTTTACAGAATCATTTTCCTATAAGAAGCACAGCCATGCATATCCCTTAACCCCGGCTCTATAGCTTCATGTTTCTATTTATACTATAAAGTGGAAATTGTTTGGCACAACTTTAAAAATGATTCATGCAGGAAGTCATAAAAAAAAGCTAACATGCTTAATTTTCAAGTCATTTCCCCAGTAGGACAATGGGAGTTTAGAGATTGATGCACAATGATAGCAGTTAGCGCTAAACAAAACAGGGAGGGGCACTGGGAACAACTTCCACGTTTTCTCCTCAGTCTGTGGATTGTACACTGTACAGCTGTTTTCATGTATACAAAAACTCCAGAATGGCTCTTCTAGGCTAGAGCTGTCATTTAACCCTGTGTGTGCCTGGCTAATGCAGTTATCACCTCGGAAAATAGTGAACAGAAAAGAAAACCTACATGTTTCTCATGAAATCATTCCATAACAGGCCTGGATTTTAGTGTACAGAGCTGCTCACAACCAAGGTTGCATGCTTGCCCCCTCCATGTAGAATGCAGGGTCAATATCTCTGCACGGTCATGATGACACAGAGGGACCGCCCACAGACCGGAGCTTCAGGGAAATGATCACAGCACTGGAACCTGCTGGAATGGGGAATAGGGTAATAATAGGGTAATGTTCCTCTAACCCCTAGAAATATCAAGCATTTAAACCTTGCAGGGGGGGTACTGCAAGGGTATTTTTGTGTTCCATCCTAGAGTTCAGCTGTAAGGGTTAAAAACAGGAGGAGGATTGGATTAGTAGTCAAGTATAAGTTATGTTTTAAAGTGTTACTAAACCCCGGACCCTGCATTTACTATATCTGGTCTCGCACAGTACACACAACATGGAAATGCAATTATTTTCGTAAATATAAACTGCTAAATACCTTTTCTCATCAGCAGTTAGAGCAGTTTTGTGACTTCTACCAGTGTCAACCAGGGCACTGGTTAAAGCTTGTAGGAGGAGTTTTATTTCTGCTCTAGGAGGAAGCAGAGCCCCGGACCTCTGTCTGGACAGTGCTGATTGGCCCTGTGCTGATCACATGCGCTCTACACACTAAACTGAGCATGTGCAGAATGGCTACAGTTCAGTCTGTCTTATCAGGAGACAAGACGTGGACATTTGAACAAGGGGAGGATCAGAGAAGTGGACAATAGGGTGCAACTTGTCATGCGATTTTAAACTGTCAAATCACATGACAAGTCACACCGTGTGACCCAGAGCTTAGAGATGTTGAGACTGTAGGGTGGGTAAGCAAGAAGCAGAAAATCAAGGATCTGCCTAGGGAATAACTGCAGAAGGGGGAGGTTGGGCAGCACACGTCTTGGCCACTGGAGGACAGGCAAGCTGTGCACTCAGCACAGTCAGAAAACCATGATGGGATGGATATGTGTACATGCCTAGTGTGGTCAGTTTATAATAGGACAACAGTGGGACTGGCAGAATTTCACACAAAGGAAGCAATATAAAGAGAACAAGATACTTTTTAGCACAAGTACATGGTATGGCAGGCACATATCAGACATATGAAATGTTGGGGTAATACACACTTTAAGCTCTTTTTTTTTTTTTTAAATCTGTATCAAACTATTAAATATGACAGCACAATAGTTAGTGCACACAATAGAAATGAGCATCTAGATAAATAACAAAGAACAAGGGTTTCAGATGTACAACCCCATGAAGACGTTACCCTTAAGGCCCCCCGGCAGGGCCACTGCAAAATCCAAAACAAACAAGAAGGAGTTCAATAAAAAGTAACAAAAAGTAAAAGGCTCATGAGAAGCCAGGGGCTGAAGCCTAAACATGCCCAAATACTAAGGGAGAAGAGGAGGGAAATATAGGAAGGAATGGAAAGAGAAAAGGGGTAAAAAAGGGAAATAATGAAAATAAAAACAAAGAGGACCTCCATTCTCCTCAAAAGGAGAGGAGGCCTAACAATGTTAAAATATTAGTACCCTGAAATTCCATCTCTAGTCGAGCATCATGAAGAAGAGCTGTTGAAAGTAAGAGTCTACTTATTAGTACTCAGAGGGATCATGACAGCAATTTTGTGTATGTGTCAGGGGTGGTAAAGTCTATCTCCACTGTCTAGATAGCATAGAATTGTGAGGACCTATCGACACGTTGATACCCCCATTCTTCTGCTAGTTGTATATCTTGCACCTTTAGCATCCAAGTTTTTACCAGTGTTAAATGAGGATGAAGAAGCACAGGGACACCTTTGAACAATAGCGTTGCCAGTCTGGGCAGGAGGGGGTGTGTTAGATGTACTAGCAGATTTAAGTACACTAACACAGCCCAACTCCAGCTCACAATTTAAAACCAGTCAAGATGATAATAGTATATTCTGGTGACTTACCATTGATGTGTTCAGCGACCACATTTGTGTAGACATTGAGCTCCATCTTACTGAATCTGTAAAAAAAAAAAAGGATAACAGCACACAGTGTTAAAATATATAAATAACAAATATGCACTAGTCATAAACTAGCCCATACATAACTTGACATCTTACTGGTGAGCTGAATCGTTTGCTTATAGGGATACCAATGCAGAGATCTCCAACCCCTAAGTTCCCAGCTACGCCTGCCTCCTAAAGCCAATATGACAAGGTCTACATTTTCATAGACCAAACAAGGTTCTATGCCCTTCATTAGAAAATGGACCAAAACATAGCACACTTCACCAGAGGGTACTTGGTGATGAGTGTACCAAAGATAAGTCTTTATCTGATGGATCAAGTAGAAGAAGAAAGAATACATATACAGAGTAAAAAGCAAAGGGGGAACCTGAACTTTTTCTGTTGCAGTTTAATTTTTACTTATAGGTCTCCTCTACCCCCCCCCCCACCCCATAACTGTCCAGTGAAAGGAGAGAAGCAGCACATTGATGAACCATCTTCCTGTCACTATTTCTTGTCCTCTCAGCACACGTCTTGCACTCTAACACATCTCCTTGCACCTCCTCTCTCCCTTTCTCTAAACTCTGCTGCACAGAGACTGTGAAAGGCCGGTACCAAGTCAAATTTAGGTATTTACATGGCTTACATTGTGCACTAGTATGTAAACTATTGGAGAAGATGATAAGGGACTATATACAGTACAAGATTTTGCTGTTAAAAAAACAGTATCTTTAGTAGTAATCAGCATGGCTTTATGAAAGCTCACTTTTGCCAAACCAACCTGTTGCCATCTAGATAAAGGAAGGCCAGTGGATGTGGTGTATTTTGCAAAAGCATTTGATGCAATCCCTCATAAATGCTTTATTTACAAACTTAGGTCTGTAGGCATGGACCATAAGATTTGTTCATGGATAGAAAACTGGTTACATGGGTGCCTCCAATAGGTGGTGATAATTAGCATGTACTCAGACTAGTCTGAAGTGGTAACCGGGGTACCCCAGGGTTCTGTCCTGAGACCAATTCTGTTTAATTTATTAATAAATAATATAGAAGTTGATATAAATAGCGCAATCTCAGTGTTTGCTGATGATACAAAGCTAAGTAGGGCAATAACTTCACAGCAAGATATAGAAATCTTACAAGAAAAACTCAGTAAAATAAGGGAGTGGGCAAATACATCACCAATTAGGTTTAATGTTGGAAAATGTAAAGTAATGCACTTGGGGCTAAAAATAGTAATGCAAGCTTCTGGCTAGCTGGAGATTCTCTGGGGGAATCCAGGATGGAAAAAGTTCCGGGGGTCCTAGTAGATGACAGACTCAGCAATGGTAAGCAATTCCAAGCTGCAGTAAGCAAAGGTAGCAGAATTTTAGCATGCATTAAAAAGGGTATTTACTCAAGAGATAAAATTATAATCCTGCCACTTTATAAAACTCTGGTACGGCCATATCTTGAGTATGCTGTCCAGTTCTGGTCACCAATCCTCAGGAAGGATGTGCTGGAAAAATTATTGCTCCAGAAAGCAGTGCTGCATACCTACAATTTGTGTCTTAACACTATGTTTTGCCCTTTGATGTGAAAGAGCAGAGACACAGATGGTTAAAGTGTATGTAAATTCAAAACTTTTTTTTTATCACTTTTTAATAGAGTAGGGAAATGTTATGTCTTTCACCTGCCAATCAATAACAAGATAGGGGAACAGCTCACCATAATAAAAGCCAGGGAGTTAGTTTATTGAAATATCTGAAGCACCATAAAGGGAATGGTTAAGGTTAGGACTGGACTGTTGGAGAGATATTCATTCACTTCCTGTCCCAGAGGAACAGCAGTAGGTAGCTGGAGATATCTCTAAGCAAAGAGATATTCCCCTCTTACACAGTTGTCACCAGAACAGGTTTCCCATTTGGAAGATTTTCCCTTACCTCCTATTGCCAATAGAGGGGTGATACCCTCCAGCACAGACAGACAGCTGTAGAAACCTGACAGTGGTCCAAACTCTTCCACATTCTATCCAAAACAAACTAAAACATGTTGGGCTTTACATACACTTTAAGCAGGGCCCAGACACTACATAACAGCAATACAAGTATATATTCTTGCCATGGCAGGGGTAAATTGTGCTGCTGCATTTGAAACCATACAAGACAAATAAGTGTTCGTCATTTACGTCCTCTGTAATAATTGCCACTTGTGGCTCTGCCAAATACAGATGTGTTGACATAGATGAGGCTTACCGATGGAAGGAAGTTAAGAAATAAATACAAATAGAAACAATCGCTAGGGAAACCTTTTTGTCATATCTCAAAAAAAAAGGTTTAATGGTTTGTGGCAATAATTCTAAGAAAGAGAGAATAGCAGTGGCAACTTGGCAAGACTGGAAGGAAGTTAATGTTATATTGAAAAGGCCCCGTCATAATTATTATGTATGCCTTTTTTTCATTAATAACTTATAATTATTGGATCATTACATTTTAAAGTATTATTATGCATATTCTGTATATAGTGTTGAAAATGTCTGCAGTGCAGAGCACCAATAAAGGTAAACTTTGTTCAAAATGCTGAATTTAATCTTAGGTGATACAGTCTGCCAGCTATATTATCTCAAGTATCTAGAATAGTTAGTTGCCCTGCTAGATAAATCCCTACTGTTTGCTGTATTCATAAAGTGACCCTTTCCTTTGACCATGCAGGACAAAGGAAAAAGGTTACTTAATAAAAGAATGAATTAATGTATGAATTAATACATAAATAATTCATCCTCTTCAGATTGTAAACTCCAAGGAGCAGGGCCCTCCTATCCCTCTTGTATTGAACTGTATTGTTGCTGTATTGTCTCCCGTTATATTGTAAAGCGCTGAGCAAACTGTTGGCGCTATATAAATCCTGTATAATAATAATAATAATAATAATAATAATAATCTTCCCAGCATAATGTACGCAGCTTCAAAATTTTGGAGATTACACAGGGCTTCCTTTCCTGACCTCCAGGGTGAGTTACTCTCTATTTGTCCTGTTGACCACTGTGATTGGGAGTAAAAGTAAGGGAAATTTTCCCCATACTCAAAGAATCACATTAAAGGCTTCTTTCTGGGACTCAACCACCCAGCTCATTTTTTTGCTCAAATATCATCATATTGTGCTCCTTAAAATCAACCACACCATCTATTTCCTGTTACCTGTGGGTTTTTCTTTGCATCCTGAGCATTTCTTCTGGCAGTTAAGGCTGCAATCTTTCCTGGTCTACCTAACCTTGGCTTGGTATCAAGAGATCCCTAAATTTTCCACTTCTTAATAAGTCATTGAACAGTACTGACTGGCATAATCAAGGCTTTGGATATCGTTTAATAGCCTTATCCTTTTCCATCTTTATAAAGTTCCATTTCCTTGTTTCTGCTCCCGATGGCTCAGTATCTAGCCTGCTCAGTGCATCTATGTGAGAGCTAACAAACTCATTGACTATTTGTACACAGTACAGATGTGGGAAATTAACTTTTGAATGCCATTTTAACCTGTATATGTCACCTTATGTGTCTGTACCAAGGTCAAACATGTAAACTTCTGATCGGGGCCATTTAGGTGATTTCTGTTATCATTATGATTTAAAAAGGAACCAAACAGCTATGTGATAATAGATGGCT